CCGCATTCACCGAACCACGTGGCCTGAAGACAAAAAATCACAGGCGCCACTCCTCGCGAGACTTCCCGCTCCAAACCTCCCTGCCCTTCACTCACCCTCAGCCTCTTGACCGATGATGCTACCGCCTGCCAGGAGCTGATGTATGCAGAAGAATGCTGTCAACACCAAGAGCCAGCCTGCAGTGAAATGGCGAGCGTGAGAAAGAGCAAAAGAGAAAGAGAGAGAGAGAGGGAGGGAAGGAGGGAGGGGAGGAACAGAGGGAAGGAGAAGAATTTTACAGCACAGACTCCAGCCAGATTGAAGGTTTACATGAAGGCAAGGCTTGATCACACGCATGTAAAGGAGTTGTGCCTTCAGAGACAAGGGCCCTCCACTCCTGTTGCGCTCTCTTACGAGAAGTGCGCTGCTGATGCTTGATCTCATCCCCCTCTTACAAAACCTCCCCCACTAATATTTAACCTGTTGTTCGGGTGGCCCGGAATCTTCGGTTCGGGCCAAGGAGCACTCTGAATTTGCCGTGGCTACTTTTGATTGCGTTGAACGAGGTCGTCTTCAGGAGGCCGCTGCCTAGCTTCACTTCATTCTTGACTCCCTCAATAGTTTCTATTTGGAATCATAAGCCCCACCAAGATTCGCACCCCTTCATAGCCAGGGCCCCCTCCAAGATTGCACTGCGCTTCATTGTAACCTATTATTTTGAAGCCTTTACATTAAAGACTCACCCTGAATATCAACACCGGATCGTGCTTTATATCCGAGTGAAAGGACGAATGCAGCCATTGCTACAACAGAATACAACAGTATTGAGTTGCACGGGCAAAATACAATTTTCGTCCGTCAACCCTGCACACAAAAAGCGTGCCTTTCCATGGTGAAGAGTACACTGAATTGCGCGGAAAATGCGACTTCTGTCCATGAGCGTGAACCCATGCAGAAGATGCGCTTGTTCTCCGTAGCGCAGCTATTGGAAAGAGTATTGGATTTCACAAGAAAATGTGGCTTGTGTCCATGATCCCATTCGCAGAAACAAATCTTTCTGCCAACTACTCACATTGTCATAATGGACAAACGTATTGAGGCTCATGGAAATATACGACTCATGTCCGTGTATTGGATCCAGCACCGCGGCCCAACGGACCACCGCCCCAAAAGGGCGCCATGAAGGGAGCCAAAATGGGAGCCTTGGATCGCGAGCCAAATTGAGCACGCGACCCCACCTCAAAGGAGGAGCTTCAAGCGGCCCGGAGTTGCAGTCAGGGTGGGAGCCCCCAAGGTTCCGTAGCTCCGGCCCTCCCACCCGGACACGGTGACCACCCTTGTTTTTGAGGAGAGAACCCCAAAGGCCTAAACTGTTTAAGGAGGAGGAGGACGGAGGAGGAGCGGCAGGCGCCTTGAAAAATATTTTTTCGACTATGTTCAACCAGCTTTCTGGCGGATTCGTATGAAAGTACCCCTGCCCTTGCCTCGCTGCGCCGGGGCGGCTCTGAACCGCGCCTTGGAAAAAGCGGCCACGAACAAAACCACGGACACAGATGCCAAAGAGGGGCGAAATTGAAGAAAAAACAAAGCAGAACATGAACATCTGGGTCGTCGTCAGGCGGGAGCCGGGCTTTGCTCCCCTGCACACTCTCGATGCCCCGTGTCATCCCAGCGCGTGCGCCCAGTCTGTGTGTGGTGTCTGTGGTGTTTCGTGATGTGGCTGTTGCTGGGGGTGAGAGTGGCATGTCTGCTGTGCTTGTGGTTTTGCCTCCCCACGCGGTGCTCCCGCTCTCTTCTTCTTGTTCTTCTTCTTATTCTTCTTCTTCTTCTTCTTCTTATTCTGCTTCTTCTTCTTATTATTCTTCTTCTTCTTCTTCTTCTTCCTCTTCCTCTTCCTCTTCTTCTTCTTCTTCTTCTTCTTCTTCTTCTTCTTCTTCTTCTTCTTCTTCTTCTTCTTCTTCTGCTGCTGCTGCTGCTGCTGCTGCTGCGGGGCTTGAAGGCCCGAGGGCCCCCGCGCGCTAGCGCGCCCGAAGTTCCGGTCTCATGTGAAACCCCAGCTAAGGTGCAATGAGGGTTTGAAGCCACACAACAATCAACATGTGATATGATTCCCCCGAAAACATAAACTGGAGTCCTGTAGTTCGGCTTCGCCCCATTTCAGGGTAGTTTCCCTGTGCATCCTCCTGGGTTCTGGTGGTGAATCTTTTCACCAAGATGACTGCTACTTAGAGCGGGGATTGCAACGAAGAACTATTACCTGCCCTCAAACCAGACTGAACCTCCCGAAACCTCCCTTTCCCGCCTCTGAAAACGCTCTCTCTTCTCTCTCTCTCGCTCGCTCTCGCTCTTCCTTTCTTGGGTCATGGGGGACTGGGTCATGGGGGACGCCCCTGTGCTCCCGGCGCGCGGTAGTGAAGATCTGAGTGAAAGCAAGTCGCCCGTGGCGCCGGATCGATCGTTCCTCCTGTCGCCCTTCAAGTGCCATACCCCCCCATATCGGCCTTGAGGAGCAGCACCTCTTCGGAGGGGCCGCCCAGACGCGTGTCCACAGGCCAGGCCTTTTCGGGGTGAGGCCTTGCCCGACGTTTCAACAGCAGTGCTGGTAAGGGCCCAGGGAAAGAGTACTAGGGTTTGCAATAAGGTGCATGATGCGCTAAGGTCCTTTGACTTGCAACTTCCCCTAATGGCCAAAAGTGGTCTTCTGCGTGCTGCTCCCCATGCTGCGGTTAGCGGCTTCAGGTCTCATCATCATCTTCTTCTTCTTCACAATATTGTTCTTCGTCTCTTTCTTCTTCTGCAAGGCTTGAGGGCACGAACGCCCCGCGCGTACTGGGCGCGCCCGGACTGTCCAGAGCCCCCATGAGACTGGACTTAAGAGTCCAGCATAGCCTCACTTGGCCCTCGGGAACTGGTGGAGCTTCTCACATCTCTCAGGCTTCGGTGGCCTGCAAAAGAAACCTGGCACCGATTTCTTCTCACGTGCTGCACAGGTGCTGCAGGAACCTGCAGGCCTATTGTGTATTTTTAATCCCAAGCAACAAAACATAAACAAAAATGAGGCTAAGCGATATCTGCTTGAGAACTCAAGGGAGGAAGGTAATGGGAAGTGGAGAAGAGGTGGAGTTTTGCAAGGATTTCACGATCCAGCACGCATGCGCCCCTCAAAGATTTATTGGCCCGAAACTCCCGTCCTAGCAATGGACATTGTACACGTCAAGAAGCTGAGCCATGAAAGTGAAAGAAAAACATTTCGGTGCCCGAGGTTGGCACTTTGTTGCCACCATTTGTACCACGCGTCTCCGGCAGCAAGCTCTGTCCATGACTGAAGGGACTGGGTGTTAGATGCGTGTCGTGCTTCTGCTGGGGATACGGACAACCGTGAGCCGCAATTTTGTTCAACATATTGCGGTGCATCGACGAATAACCTGAACGACAGAACACCGCTGGAAACTGCAGCACCTAAGTTTAGCTAGGGCCACATGGACTTGTGCTGAAAAGCTACATCGCGCACATGCAGCGAGAAGCACATGAATTCCCTTCCCAGAACATGACCTTCACGTCACCCACATGGGGGAATGCTGTCAGAAATCCACAAACAGTTCACGGAGTGTTTCACCTTGCCAGAGGATGGATGACTCAGAACTGACGATCTAAGTGAACCGTTCGAAGTCAGCATCGTGTGGCAGGCCGCTTCATCACCGCGAGCACCTGAGAAGTACTTGGTACAACTCTGTGGTGAATAGAACCTGGGTAGTGGGCCCACCAGAATGTTCTTGGATTTCCAGGCAGGGCGGGGCCTCTCACCGGGGTACGAGCTCACCTTCTGAGACGCGAACGCGCGCAAACACCGCTCACACCGCACACGCCGCGCATTTCAACGCACTTCATCTCCAAGACTCTCCAAGCCGCTGCTGTCGACTGGAGGCACCCACCCCCATGCTTGTTGACTCAGATGTAACCTTCTTCCTTCTAGTCATTCTAGCCCATCCCTTGTCTCGTGTCAAAAAGCATCTCGGGGTGAGCAGCACTGCAGGGAACTGATCGTCCATGAAAATTTGCCAAGCTGCGGATAAGACCACAGAGGAACCAGCTAATGACTTGTACCATCCGACAAAGTTCAACTCGCCGGTGTCTTGGCAGAGGAAAGGGTGGAAGGTGGAAGCTGGAAGCGTAACAAAATTCCAGCAGGTGCCAATTCAGGCAAAAGCTGCTGGGCTCTGTGCCTGGTCCTTTCAAAAAAAACCCAAGCCAAGCCAAGCCAAGCATGCAAGCGCGTACTTTAGACGCACGAACCTCACCAAGGGCAGGTACCCTCGCGCCTCCCAGTGGCAAGATCCCTCCAAACGCAGAGTATTATGGATGATATGCCATTCAGGCGTGTTCTTCCGGTTGCCTTTAAGCTGCCCAACTGCCGGGCAGCATTGAAACACTTTACATGGTGGCTTGAAACGAAGAACCGGAGAAAATGGAAGTTGTGCGCACCACTGAGGTGGCCTATACAAAGTGCCGGCTTCTCATGAATTTGAACGCCTCGCACTCATGCACTGGCTCAGGCAACCAGGCCGGTGCAGAAAGCAAGCCCCGGGCCGGAAGACTCCCTATTGTGTCAATTTTGACCAAAGAATCTCATGACATTTTCCTTTCTTACCTTGGGCCATCAAGCATCCACAGAACCTCTGGCCTTAAGGCTTCAAGTCCTTCTGCAACCGGCTAAGTACGAATTCAGCGCGCGCTCCCACAGCGTTCGTCAGCAGTCTGGGATTTCTTCACCAGGCAGGTCAGAGCACATCACGTTCAATGCTGGGATGCCTCTCAGCCTGAGATGGAATCTTCAGGACCACTCAACAAAAACATTAAAAGGGGTAAGCTGAGACTTTGGACTCTTGAGAGGAGAAATGCAAACCTTGCGCATTCCAATGCCTACAAGTCCTATGTGTGCATGAAGCAGCTGTTCGTCATGGAGACATATTCAGGAAGGGGATGGACGGGGCGTGGTCAGTTGACAAGCCGACAGTCGTCTCTCAACGCTGAGCCAGTAGGGATCTAAGTTTACTTCCTCTAGCCCCCCTGTCGATATCTGGGTCAAGCCGCACGACCCGCCCATAGCGGGAGCGCGACAACGATGCAAAGTTCTCCCTCATGGCATTCAAGGCCGATTCGAGCATGTCTCCCTCCAAGATGCGAAGCAAAGCCAGGGTGGTCTGATGGCCATGCCGAATTTTGGACATGGCAAGGAGCAGCCCCGGCTGAGATAACAGTCCATTTGCCAAGCATATCTTGTCCTCGGGACACACGTGGCACAGCGCCTTTGCCAGCACAGCACTGGCATTCTGGTCCATGGCCAAATCACAGGCCTGTGGCTTGAGAAGCAAGCAGAGCGAGTGCTGCTGTGCGAGTGTGCCATGGCTGAGAACACGCTGCATCACGAAGTTGCCATACTGGTGCCTGACCAGCTGCAGCGCCTCCCTTAATAAACTCTCCACCATGCTGCTTGTCTGCTCGTGTCGCACATGCTCCAGAAGGCGTTGCATGATTCGACATCCGTACCTGTGGCGAGCCAACTGCGAAGCGGCTCGCTTGCCTTGCGAAGAAATCTCGTCAACAATGAACTGACAATCATGTGGCCGAAGCACGGTAATCAACCTCTGAAGCACGTAGTTCCCGAACGGGCAGCGGGCCGCTTCCCACACGTGTCCCACCATCTCTAATGCCAAGGAATTTCTGTCCTGATCAGAGGTGCATGCGTCGATGGCTTCCTGCACACGCCGGCAACCGTTCTGCTTCTGGCAAAGCTGCCACACGCGGCCTTGGACGGGGGTAGCTCGTTCTGGAGTCGGCAAGAGCCCGATAGGCGTCATGGATCTTTCAGACAGTCCAATGGAAGACACTGATGAAGACACTGATGTCGACACGGACGATGCTGATGCAGATGATGCGGTTGTCACGCGACTGAAGCAGCTCCCGGAGGGCGTGGGTGGCAGACTCGACGGCTCCGTATTAACCTGCTACTATGCTGCGACAAAGGTTGGGTCAGGAAGAGGGGTGACGAGGGGAGCCACGAGGGACGAGTCAGGAGGGAAGCTTTGAGAAATCCACAGCCTGGCATGGCACTTGCACTGGCGTTGGCTGTACCAGCTGTGCGGGCTGTACCTGCTGTGCCATGATTGGCACAGCGTTCGGAGCAAATGCCATCGGCTGCCTCAAAAATTGTCCAGACAGGCTGAGAAAAAATGAGAAAAAAAACTGAAAGTAAACAGCCACGAGCAGTCTAAAAGAGCAGGCAGCTGTTCCCTTCACATTGATCCGAGCTGCCCTCCCTGTACGTTCACAACGAAAGCCTGGGCTGACATGCGGCAGATGTTGGGTGCGGGCTGCTCTACATGCTCTCGGCTCTACACGACCAATGCATCAGGTTATCAGATATATCTGATCGAGGAGCAACTGCAGGTTGCAGTGCAGGTTGTGGGCACATCAGCACGGCCGGCATTGGGCTGCACACCGTTCCTATCATAGGCACCATCGCCGCGCCGTTTGCCTGCACAAAGCTTGCCTGCATCATCGCTTCCAGTCGCGGCCGGTGAGCACCTTCTGAGGAGATGGCACGCGTGTCTGAGCCCAAACGTGCACTGCGGACCAGCAATGGGCAACGTACTGCGCACTGCGACTCCTTGTGGCTGGAATGCCCTCAACACAGAGCTCCGACAGGGTCCTACCGGGTCCTACCGGCGCTGCCATCAACACGAGCGCAGCAAGGGCACATCACCCAACGTTGCGGATCAGGGCGACCACGAGCATAACTTGCAAGAGCAAGGACCCCGCCGGAGGGCGCATGTTGTCGTTGGACAGGATCTCCAGGAAGGGCGAGGCCTCGTCGGCCTCCGGAAGCGCGGGCTTCAGACGCAGGCTCTGCAGCCCTTTCTGCCATCTGCGGGGAGCATGCAACACGCGCGCAGAGCAAGCAACGCGCACGCAGCCGCACGCTCGCGCCGCGTGTTTTTTCACCCTCAAGCCGCTGTTGTCAGACGACCGGATGACGCCCGCGCATCATGGCTATACACTCTTACATGTCCGCGATGCAGGCGAACGGGCACCTGCCGGGATTCTACCGCTGGCGGTGCTTTGTTAAAAACTGCCAAGCTGTGGAAAAAACCACTGAACCAGCGAGGGACTTGTACCATCCGACAAAGTTCCGCTCGCCAGTGTCTTAGCAAAGGAAGGGAGTGGAAGCTGTTAAGAGCTACAAAACTTCCAGCAGTTGCCAACTCACACAAGCTGCCAGACTCTGTGCCTTGGTCCTTGAAAGAAATAGAGGCCAAGCCAAGCATGCAACGCGTACTTCAGACGCATGAACCTCACCAGGGCAGGTACCCTCGCGCCTCCCACTGGCAAGATCCCTCCAACGCAGAGTATTATGGATGATATGCCATTCAGGCGTGTTCTTCCGCTTGCCTATAGGCTGCCCAACTGCGGGCAGCATTGAAACACTTTACATGGTGGCTTGAAACGAAGAACCGGAGAAATGGAGGTTTGCGGTTTACGCACCATTGAGGTGGCCTATACAATGTGCTGGCTTCTCATGATTCGAAGGCCTCGCACTCATGCACTGGCCCCGGCAACCAGGCCGGTGCAGAAAGCAAGCCCGGGGCAGCAAGACTCCCTACCGTATCAACTTTGACCAGAGAATCTCTCATCACCTTTTCGTATCTTTACCTCTGGACGCAAAGCATCCACAGAACCTCTGGCCTTAAGGCTTCAAGTCCTTCTGCAACCGGCTAATTTAAGTACGAATTCAACGCACGCTCCCACAGCGTGCAGCTGTAGTCAGCAGTCTGGGGCTTCTTCACTAGGCAGGTCAGAGCACATCACGTTCAATGCTGGGATGCCTCTCAGCCTGAGATGCAAACTTTCCAAGACCACTCAACAAAAACATTCCAAGCTCGCGATAAGCTAAGACCCGAAACGCTCAAGAGGCCAAATGCAACCTCGCGCAATCCAATGCCTATACAGCCTGTGTGTGCGTGAAGTAGCTGCTTCTCATGGAGACATATTCAGAAAGGGATGTGGTCAGTTGACAAGCCGACAGTCAAGCCGTCTCCCGACTCTGAGCTACAACCATATCTGGGTCAAGCCGCACGACCCGCCCATAGCGGAAGCGCGACAACGATGCAAAGTTCTCCCTGATGGCCTTCACGGCCGATTCGAGCATGTCTCCCTCCAAGATGCGAAGCAAAGCCAGGGTGGTCTGATGGCCATGCCGAATTTTGGACATGGCGAGGAGCAGCCCGGGCTGAGATAACAGTCCATTTGCCAAGCATACCTTGTCCTCGGGAGACACATGGCACAGTGCCTTTGCCAGCACAGCACTGGCATTCTGGTCCATGGCCAACTCACAAGCCTGTGGCTTGAGAAGCAAGCAGAGCGAGCGCTGCTGCGCGAGTGTGCCATGGCTGAGAACACACTGCATCACGAAGTTGCCATACTGGTGCCTGGCCAGCTGCAGCGCCTCCCCCAACAAGCCCTCCACCATGCTGCTTGCCTGCTCCTGTCGCACGTGCTCCAGGAGGCGTTGCATGATGCGACATCCGTACCTGTGGCGAGCCAACTGCGAGGCGGCTCGCTTGCCTCGCGAAGAGATCTCATCAACAATGAACTGACAGTCGGGTGGCCGAAGCACGGTGATAAACTTCTGAAGCACGTAGTTCCCGAACGGGCAGCGGGCCGCTTCCCACACATGTCCCACCATCTCGAATGCCAAGGAATTTCTGTCCTGATCAGAGCTGCATGCGTCGATGGCTTCCTGCACACGCCGGCAACCGTTCTGCTGTTGGCAGAGCTGCCACACGCGGCCTCGGATGGAGCACCGCGCTCCTTCCAGCGTCGGAGAGAATAGCTCGACAGGGGTCATGGATCTTTCAGACAGTCCAAAGGAAGACGTTGATGAAGACTCGAGAGATGATGCGGTCGTCGTTCGACTGAAGCAGCTCGGCGTGGAGGGACTCGACAGCTCCGTGTTCACCTGCTACACGCAGCGACAAAGGCCGGGTCAGGACGAGGGAGGGACGAGGGAAAAACAACAAATCCACAGCCTTGCATGGCGCTTGCACTGGCGTTGGTTGGACCAGCTGCGCCGGCTGCACCGGCTGCACCGGCTGCATCGGCTGCATCGGCTGTGCCATGATTGGCACAGCGTTCGGAGCAAATGCCATCGGCTGCCTCAAAATTTGTCACGACAAGCTGAGAACAAAAAAACTGCAAACAGAAAACTAACAGCCACCGTCCCCTTAACGTTGATCCGAGCTGCCCTCCCTGCACGTTCACAACGAAAGCCTGGGCTGACATGCGGCAGATGTTGGGTGCGGGCTGCTCTACATGCTCTCGGCTCTACACGACCAATGCATCAGGTTATCAGATATATCTGATCGAGGAGCAACTGCAGGTTGCAGTGCAGGTTGTGGGCACATCAGCACGGCCGGCATTGGGCTGCACACCGTTCCTATCATAGGCACCATCGCCGCGCCGTTTGCCTGCACAAAGCTTGCCTGCATCATCGCTTCCAGTCGCGGCCGGTGAGCACCTTCTGAGGAGATGGCACGCGTGTCTGAGCCCAAACGTGCACTGCGGACCAGCAATGGGCAACGTACTGCGCACTGCGACTCCTTGTGGCTGGAATGCCCTCAACACAGAGCTCCGACAGGGTCCTACCGGGTCCTACCGGCGCTGCCATCAACACGAGCGCAGCAAGGGCACATCACCCAACGTTGCGGATCAGGGCAACCACGAGCATAACTTGCAAGAGCAAGGACCCCGCCGGAGGGCGCATGTTGTCGTTGGACAGGATCTCCAGGAAGGGCGAGGCCTCGTCGGCCTCCGGAAGCGCGGGCTTCAGACGCAGGCTCTGCAGCCCTTTCTGCCATCTGCGGGGAGCATGCAACACGCGCGCAGAGCAAGCAACGCGCACGCAGCCGCACGCTCGCGCCGCGTGTTTTTTCACCCTCAAGCCGCTGTTGTCAGACGACCGGATGACGCCCGCGCATCATGGCTATACACTCTTACATGTCCGCGATGCAGGCGAACGGGCACCTGCCGGGATTCTACCGCTGGCGGTGCTTTGTTAAAAACTGCCAAGCTGTGGAAAAAACCACTGAACCAGCGAGGGACTTGTACCATCCGACAAAGTTCCGCTCGCCAGTGTCTTGGCAAAGGAAGGGAGTGGAAGCTGTTAAGAGCTACAAAACTTCCAGCAGTTGCCAACTCACACAAGCTGCCAGACTCTGTGCCTTGGTCCTTGAAAGAAATAGAGGCCAAGCCAAGCATGCAACGCGTACTTCAGACGCATGAACCTCACCAGGGCAGGTACCCTCGCGCCTCCCACTGGCAAGATCCCTCCAACGCAGAGTATTATGGATGATATGCCATTCAGGCGTGTTCTTCCGCTTGCCTTTAAGCTGCCCAACTGCGGGCAGCATTGAAACACTTTACATGGTGGCTTGAAACGAAGAACCGGAGAAATGGAGGTTTGCGGTTTACGCACCATTGAGGTGGCCTATACAATGTGCTGGCTTCTCATGATTCGAAGGCCTCGCACTCATGCACTGGCCCTGGCAACCAGCTAGGTACGAATTCTACGCTCCCACAGCGTGCAGCTGTAGTCAGCAGTCTGGGGCTTCTTCACTAGGCAGGTCAGAGCACATCACGTTCAATGCTGGGATGCCTCTCAGCCTGAGATGCAAACTTTCCAGGACCACTCAACAAAAACATTCCGAGCTCGCGATAAGCTAAGACCCGAAACGCTCCAGAGGCCAAATGCAACCTCGCGCAATCCAATGCCTATACAGCCTATGTGTGCGTGAAGTAGCTGCTTCGGATGGAGACATATTCAGGAAGGGATGTGGTCAGTTGACAAGCCGACAGTCAAGCCGTCTCCCGACTCTGAGCTACAACCATATCTGGGTCAAGCCGCACGACCCGCCCATAGCGGAAGCGCGACAACGATGCAAAGTTCTCCCTGATGGCCTTCACGGCCGATTCGAGCATGTCTCCCTCCAAGATGCGAAGCAAAGCCAGGGTGGTCTGATGGCCATGCCGAATTTTGGACATGGCGAGGAGCAGCCCGGGCTGAGATAACAGTCCATTTGCCAAGCATACCTTGTCCTCGGGAGACACATGGCACAGTGCCTTTGCCAGCACAGCACTGGCATTCTGGTCCATGGCCAACTCACAAGCCTGTGGCTTGAGAAGCAAGCAGAGCGAGCGCTGCTGCGCGAGTGTGCCATGGCTGAGAACACACTGCATCACGAAGTTGCCATACTGGTGCCTGGCCAGCTGCAGCGCCTCCCCCAACAAGCCCTCCACCATGCTGCTTGCCTGCTCCTGTCGCACGTGCTCCAGGAGGCGTTGCATGATGCGACATCCGTACCTGTGGCGAGCCAACTGCGAGGCGGCTCGCTTGCCTCGCGAAGAGATCTCATCAACAATGAACTGACAGTCAGGTGGCCGAAGCACGGTGATAAACTTCTGAAGCACGTAGTTCCCGAACGGGCAGCGGGCCGCTTCCCACACATGTCCCACCATCTCGAATGCCAAGGAATTTCTGTCCTGATCAGAGCTGCATGCGTCGATGGCTTCCTGCACACGCCGGCAACCGTTCTGCTGTTGGCAGAGCTGCCACACGCGGCCTCGGATGGAGCACCGCGCTCCTTCGGGCGTCGGAGAGAATAGCTCGACAGGGGTCATGGATCTTTCAGACAGTCCAAAGGAAGACGTTGATGAAGACTCGAGAGATGATGCGGTCGTCGTTCGACTCAAGCAGCTCGGCGTGGAGGGACTCGACGGCTCCGTGTTCACCTGCTACATGCAGCGACAAAGGCCGGGTCAGGACGAGGGAGGGACGAGGGAAAAACAACAAATCCACAGCCTTGCATGGCGCTTGCACTGGCGTTGGTTGGACCAGCTGCGCCGGCTGCACCGGCTGCACCGGCTGCATCGGCTGCATCGGCTGTGCCATGATTGGCACAGCGTTCGGAGCAAATGCCATCGGCTGCCTCAAAATTTGTCACGACAAGCTGAGAACAAAAAAAACTGCAAACAGAAAACAAACAGCCACCGTCCCCTTAACGTTGATCCGAGCTGCCCTCCCTGCACGTTCACAACGAAAGCCTGGGCTGACATGCGGCAGATGTTGGGTGCGGGCTGCTCTACATGCTCTCGGCTCTACACGACCAATGCATCAGGTTATCAGATATATCTGATCGAGGAGCAACTGCAGGTTGCAGTGCAGGTTGTGGGCACATCAGCACGGCCGGCATTGGGCTGCACACCGTTCCTATCATAGGCACCATCGCCGCGCCGTTTGCCTGCACAAAGCTTGCCTGCATCATCGCTTCCAGTCGCGGCCGGTGAGCACCTTCTGAGGAGATGGCACGCGTGTCTGAGCCCAAACGTGCACTGCGGACCAGCAATGGGCAACGTACTGCGCACTGCGACTCCTTGTGGCTGGAATGCCCTCAACACAGAGCTCCGACAGGGTCCTACCGGGTCCTACCGGCGCTGCCATCAACACGAGCGCAGCAAGGGCACATCACCCAACGTTGCGGATCAGGGCGACCACGAGCATAACTTGCAAGAGCAAGGACCCCGCCGGAGGGCGCATGTTGTCGTTGGACAGGATCTCCAGGAAGGGCGAGGCCTCGTCGGCCTCCGGAAGCGCGGGCTTCAGACGCAGGCTCTGCAGCCCTTTCTGCCATCTGCGGGGAGCATGCAACACGCGCGCAGAGCAAGCAACGCGCACGCAGCCGCACGCTCGCGCCGCGTGTTTTTTCACCCTCAAGCCGCTGTTGTCAGACGACCGGATGACGCCCGCGCATCATGGCTATACACTCTTACATGTCCGCGATGCAGGCGAACGGGCACCTGCCGGGATTCTACCGCTGGCGGTGCTTTGTTAAAAACTGCCAAGCTGTGGAAAAAACCACTGAACCAGCGAGGGACTTGTACCATCCGACAAAGTTCCGCTCGCCAGTGTCTTGGCAAAGGAAGGGAGTGGAAGCTGTTAAGAGCTACAAAACTTCCAGCAGTTGCCAACTCACACAAGCTGCCAGACTCTGTGCCTTGGTCCTTGAAAGAAATAGAGGCCAAGCCAAGCATGCAACGCGTACTTCAGACGCATGAACCTCACCAGGGCAGGTACCCTCGCGCCTCCCACTGGCAAGATCCCTCCAACGCAGAGTATTATGGATGATATGCCATTCAGGCGTGTTCTTCCGCTTGCCTATAGGCTGCCCAACTGCGGGCAGCATTGAAACACTTTACATGGTGGCTTGAAACGAAGAACCGGAGAAATGGAGGTTTGCGGTTTACGCACCATTGAGGTGGCCTATACAATGTGCTGGCTTCTCATGATTCGAAGGCCTCGCACTCATGCACTGGCCCCGGCAACCAGGCCGGTGCAGAAAGCAAGCCCGGGGCAGCAAGACTCCCTACCGTATCAACTTTGACCAGAGAATCTCTCATCACCTTTTCGTATCTTTACCTCTGGACGCAAAGCATCCACAGAACCTCTGGCCTTAAGGCTTCAAGTCCTTCTGCAACCGGCTAATTTAAGTACGAATTCAACGCACGCTCCCACAGCGTGCAGCTGTAGTCAGCAGTCTGGGGCTTCTTCACTAGGCAGGTCAGAGCACATCACGTTCAATGCTGGGATGCCTCTCAGCCTGAGATGCAAACTTTCCAAGACCACTCAACAAAAACATTCCAAGCTCGCGATAAGCTAAGACCCGAAACGCTCAAGAGGCCAAATGCAACCTCGCGCAATCCAATGCCTATACAGCCTGTGTGTGCGTGAAGTAGCTGCTTCTCATGGAGACATATTCAGAAAGGGATGTGGTCAGTTGACAAGCCGACAGTCAAGCCGTCTCCCGACTCTGAGCTACAACCATATCTGGGTCAAGCCGCACGACCCGCCCATAGCGGAAGCGCGACAACGATGCAAAGTTCTCCCTGATGGCCTTCACGGCCGATTCGAGCATGTCTCCCTCCAAGATGCGAAGCAAAGCCAGGGTGGTCTGATGGCCATGCCGAATTTTGGACATGGCGAGGAGCAGCCCGGGCTGAGATAACAGTCCATTTGCCAAGCATACCTTGTCCTCGGGAGACACATGGCACAGTGCCTTTGCCAGCACAGCACTGGCATTCTGGTCCATGGCCAACTCACAAGCCTGTGGCTTGAGAAGCAAGCAGAGCGAGCGCTGCTGCGCGAGTGTGCCATGGCTGAGAACACACTGCATCACGAAGTTGCCATACTGGTGCCTGGCCAGCTGCAGCGCCTCCCCCAACAAGCCCTCCACCATGCTGCTTGCCTGCTCCTGTCGCACGTGCTCCAGGAGGCGTTGCATGATGCGACATCCGTACCTGTGACGAGCCAACTGCGAGGCGGCTCGCTTGCCTCGCGAAGAGATCTCATCAACAATGAACTGACAGTCGGGTGGCCGAAGCACGGTGATAAACTTCTGAAGCACGTAGTTCCCGAACGGGCAGCGGGCCGCTTCCCACACATGTCCCACCATCTCGAATGCCAAGGAATTTCTGTCCTGATCAGAGCTGCATGCGTCGATGGCTTCCTGCACACGCCGGCAACCGTTCTGCTGTTGGCAGAGCTGCCACACGCGGCCTCGGATGGAGCACCGCGCTCCTTCGGGCGTCGGAGAGAATAGCTCGACAGGGGTCATGGATCTTTCAGACAGTCCAAAGGAAGACGTTGATGAAGACTCGAGAGATGATGCGGTCGTCGTTCGACTCAAGCAGCTCGGCGTGGAGGGACTCGACGGCTCCGTGTTCACCTGCTACATGCAGCGACAAAGGCCGGGTCAGGACGAGGGAGGGACGAGGGAAAAACAACAAATCCACAGCCTTGCATGGCGCTTGCACTGGCGTTGGTTGGACCAGCTGCGCCGGCTGCACCGGCTGCACCGGCTGCATCGGCTGCATCGGCTGTGCCATGATTGGCACAGCGTTCGGAGCAAATGCCATCGGCTGCCTCAAAATTTGTCACGACAAGCTGAGAACAAAAAAACTGCAAACAGAAAACAAACAGCCACCGTCCCCTTAACGTTGATCCGAGCTGCCCTCCCTGCACGTTCACAACGAAAGCCTGGGCTGACATGCGGCAGATGTTGGGTGCGGGCTGCTCTACATGCTCTCGGCTCTACACGACCAATGCATCAGGTTATCAGACATATCTGATCGAGGAGCAACTGCAGGTTGCAGTGCAGGTTGTGGGCACATCAGCACGGCCGGCATTGGGCTGCACATCGTTCCTATCATAGGCACCATCGCCGCGCCGTTTGCCTGCACAAAGCTTGCCTGCATCATCGCTTCCAGTCGCGGCCGGTGAGCACCTTCTGAGGAGATGGCACGCGTGTCTGAGCCCAAACGTGCACTGCGGACCAGCAATGGGCAACGTACTGCGCACTGCGACTCCTTGTGGCTGGAGTGCCCTCAACACAGAGGTCCGACCGGGTCCTACCGGGTCCTACCGGCGCTGCCATCAACACGAGCGCAGCAAGGGCACATCATCCGTTACGGATCAGGGCGACCACGAGCATAACTTGCAAGAGCAAGGACCCCGCCGGAGGGCGCATGTTGTCCTGTCCAATCAAGCGAATGAGCTCGCTCCGTCGCAGTCCGTCAAAGGTGGACCTTGCTAGACGATGCCAGACGATGCTGGACTGCCAGACGTGCGGCGCGCGAAAATCCACAAAAGATGTCCTGCCGGCAGACTGTGGCTAGGTCTCGGGCTCCTTGTCTTCAGAGGTCGAGGATGCTGACGAGCCCAGCGCTGTGCTCGACAAGCTTGGTAGCTCCTCACATAGGAGCAGCTCACATTGGAGCTGAATGCCCTCATTGCTTGGAGCTGAAAGATGCCACTGTCAAGCCGATCTCCTTCTCGTGGCTTGGGTCATCCAGTTGGAGATCGCAAGCCTGACAAACATCAGCTTGGCACAGTCGCAATGCTTTCTGAATTAAGCTGAGTCCATCCGGCCTCCGCATTCACCGAACCACGTGGCCTGAAGACAAAAAATCACAGGCGCCACTCCTCGCGAGACTTCCCGCCTCAAACCTCCCTGCCCTTCACCCTCAGCCTCTTGACCGATGATGCTACCGCCTGCCAGGAGTTGATGCATGCAGAAGAATGCTGTCAATACCAAGAGCCAGCCTGCAGTGAAATGGCGAGAGTGAGAGCGAAAGAGCAAAAGAGAGGGAGAGGGAGAGAGAGGGAGGGAGGGAAGGAGGGAGGGGAGGAACAGAGGGAAGGAGAAGAATTTTACAGCAAAGTTGACATGAAGGCTTACGAGAAGGCTGGATCACATGCATGCACTCCGTGCTTATTGCAGATTCATGCGCATGAAATTACCTTTACCTTGCCTCGCTGCGCCGGCGCGGCTCTGAACCGCGCCTGGGTCAGAAAAAGCGGCGACGAACAAGAGCACCAATGCCAAAGAGAGGCGAAATTGAAGGAAACAGGGCAAAAATATGATCATCATGAGAAAGAAGTGTGGCGAAATCGCTGGCGAAAGTGGTGCTATGCTGCGTTGAAGCTTCAGCGTGAGGCATATGGTTGCATCTTTCCTGTGTTCCCATGGCGCAACACCCAGGCCAGCGTGCCTAGCTTCTTCGAAGGCTCGCCCTGCTCCCTCCCCCTCTCCCTCTCTCACTCTCTCACTCTCTCACTCTCTCACTCTCTCACTCTCTCACTCTCTCACTCTCTCACTCTCTCACTCTCTCACTCTCTCACTCTCTCACTCTCTCTCTCTCTCTCTCTCTCGTTCTTTCATGGGGCATAGGGGTCGACCCCCTGCGCAGTCTGCGCGCCCCCATCTTTGGTGGCCGATTGGAGACAAGCCAAGGCTCAGCCATGTCAAACAAGTGGTGTTTAGGGTTTAGGGCTGGGAGGCAATCTCAGTTTCTCTTCTTCCTCTTCTTCTTCTTCTTCTTCTTCTTCTTCTTCTTCTTCTTCTTCTTCTTCTTCTTCGCTGGGGAATGCTCTGTCTGGCGGTGTGTGTTTTTTTTTTCTCTCTCTCTCTCTCTCTCTCTCTCGCGAAGATTTGCAGATTTTTGCTTGAACATTGCCCAGGAGGCAATACAGGCTCGGCAGCTTGCCAGGGGCCCCACCGGAATGTTCTTGGATGTCAAGGCAGGGCGGGGCCTCTCACCGGGGTACGAGCTCACCTTCTGAAACGTGAACGTGCGCTCACACCGCACACGCCGCGCATTTCAACGCACTTCATCTCCAAGATTCTCCAAGCCGCTGCTGTCGACTGGAGGGACCCACCCCATGCTTGCTGACTCAGATGTAACCTTCTTCCTTCTAGTCATTCTAGCCCATCCCTTGTCTCGTGTCAAAAAGCATCTCGGGGTGAGCAGTGCTGCAGGGAACTGATCGTCCATGAAAATTTGCCAAGCTGCGGATAAGACCACAGAGGAACCAGCTAATGACTTGTACCATCCGACAAAGTTCAACTCGCCGGTGTCTTGGCAGAGGAAAGGGTGGAAGGTGGAAGCTGGAAGCACAACAAAATTCCAGCAGGCGCCAATTCAGGCAAAAGCTGCTGGGCTCTGTGCCTGGTCCTTTCTAAAAAAAATCCCAGGCCAACCCAAGCCAAGCATGCAAGCGCGTACTTTAGACGCATGAAACTCACCAAGGGCAGGTACCCTCGTGCCTCCCACCGGCAAGATCTTTCCATAGCAAAGAATTATGGATGATATGCCATTCAGGCATGTTCTTCCGGTTACGTTTGGGCTGCCCAACTGCGGGCAGCATTGAAACACTTTACATGGTGGCTTGAAACGAAGAACCGGAGAAACTGGAGGTTTGCCAACCATTGAGGTGGCCTATACAATGTGCTGGCTTCTCATGATTCGAGAGCCTCGCACTCATGCACTGGCCCCGGCAACCAGGCCGGTGTAGAAAGCAAGCCCTGGGCCAGAAGACTCCCTATTGCATCATTTTTGACCAGGGAATCTCATCACCTTTTCCTTTCTTTACCTTGAGGTACTACAAAGCATCCACAGAACCTCTGGCCTAAAGGATTGAGTCCTTCTGCACCGGCTATGTACGAATTCAGCGCATGTTTTATTGCGTTCAGCTGTCGTCAGCATCTGGGATTTCTTCACGAGGCAGGTCAGAGCACATCACGTTCAATGCTGGGATGCCTCTCAGCCTGAGATGCAAACTTTCCAGGAGCAGTCAACAGAAACATTCTAAATGCTTCAGAAATGCAAGCCCTTCACATTCCACTAGAAAGATTTGGTCCGTTGACAAGCCGACGTGATAATCCTCTTCGATATTTGGGTCAAGTCGCACGACCCGCCCATAGCGGAAGCGGGACAACAATGCAAAGTTCTCCCTCATGGCATTCAAGGCCGATTCGAGCATGTCTCCTTCCAAGATGCGAAACAGAGCCAGGGTGGTCTGATGGCCATGCCGAATTTTGGACATGGCGAGGAGCAGCCCTGGCTTTGACAACAGTCCATTTGCCAAGCATACCTTGTCCTCGGGAGACACATGGCGCAGTGCCTTTGCCAGCACAGCACTGGCATTCTGGTCCATGGCCAACTCACAAGCCTGTGGCTTGAGAAGCAAGCAGAGCGAGCGCTGCTGCGCGAGTGTGCCATGGCTGAGAACACACTGCATCACGAAGTTGCCATACTGGTGCCTGGCCAGCTGCAGCGCCTCCCCCAACAAGCCCTCCACCATGCTGCTTGCCTGCTCCTGTCGCACGTGCTCCAGGAGGCGTTGCATGATGCGACATCCGTACCTGTGACGAGCCAACTGCGAGGCGGCTCGCTTGCCTCGCGAAGAGATCTCGTCAACAATGAACTGACAGTCGGGTGGCCGAAGCACGGTGATAAACTTCTGAAGCACGTAGTTCCCGAACGGGCAGCGGGCCGCTTCCCACACATGTCCCACCATCTCGAATGCCAAGGAATGTCTGTCCTGATCAGAGCTGCATGCGTCGATGGCTTCCTGCACACGCCGGCAACCGTTCTGCTGTTGGCAGAGCTGCCACACGCGGCCTCGGATGGAGCACCGCGCTCCTTCGGGCGTTGGAGAGAATAGCTCGACAGGGGTCATGGATCTTTCAGACAGTCCAAAGGAAGACGTTGAAGAAGACTCGAGAGATGATGCGGTCGTCGTTCGACTGAAGCAGCTCGGCGTGGAGGGACTCGGCGGCTCCGTGTTCACCTGCTACATGCAGCGACAAAGGCCGGGTCAGGACGAGGGAGGGACGAGGGAGGGACGAGGGACGAGTGTCAGGAGGGAAGCTATGAAAAAAAAAATCCACAGCCTTGCATGGCGCTTGCACTGGCGTTGGTTGGACCAGCTGCGCCGGCTGCACCGGCTGCACCGGCTGCATCGGCTGCATCGGCTGTGCCATGATTGGCACAGCGTTCGGAGCAAATGCCATCGGCTGCCTCAAAATTTGTCACGACAAGCTGAGAACAAAAAAACTGCAAACAGAAAACAAACAGCCACCGTCCCCTTAACGTTGATCCGAGCTGCCCTCCCTGCACGTTCACAACGAAAGCCTGGGCTGACATGCGGCAGATGTTGGGTGCGGGCTGCTCTACATGCTCTCGGCTCTACACGACCTATGCATCAGGTTATCAGATATATCTGATCGAGGAGCAACTGCAGGTTGCAGTGCAGGTTGTGGGCACATCAGCACGGCCGGCATTGGGCTGCACATCGTTCCTATCATAGGCACCATCGCCGCGCCGTTTGCCTGCACAAAGCTTGCCTGCATCATCGCTTCCAGTCGCGGCCGGTGAGCACCTGCTGAGGAGATGGCACGCGTGTCTGAGCCCAAACGTGCACTGCGGACCAGCAACGGGCAATGTACTGCGTACTGCGACTCGTTGTGGCTGGAATGCCCTCAACACAGAGCTCCGACCGGGTCCTACCGGGTCCTACCGGCGCTGCCATCAACACGAGCACAGCAAGGGCACATCACCCAACATTGCGGATCAGGGCGACCGGCATTTGCAAGAGAAAGGACTGTGTGCGCCCATCCCATTCCCTAAGAGGCGCCTGCACCATCAAGCGTGTAAGTTTGGCACGGGGTCCAAAAGCGTGGAACGGCTTGAATGGCAGCATCACGCATGTAGCGACACGGCAGCAAACAGCACTGGTCGTTCAGCAGAGCTGTTGCTGAGAATGATGCATGGGTCTTTTGCTACGTGGTCCGACCCACTGCAATGCCCGGGGTCTAACTCAGCGAACCCTTCTTGGATTCAGCAGAGGGTGACACGAGACCTCGGGGCCAAGCTAGTGCGGCCGCATGCCAGTCACAAGCATGGCAGTTTTCTGCTCCTCAGGGTGCTGCACTGAGTTCTTTCTAAGCTGTTCTTCGTTTCTCTGAGTTTCTCTCCCGCTCGCTCCCTTCCCCTGCACAGGATCGAGTGATCTTCACAGGCTTCTCAGGTAAGCAAGACGGCAAAAGCAGATGAATCCTCAAGCACTGAGCCACCCTCATTCCGGAAAGATTCCAAAATTTGTACTTCGATGCATGTGGTATTGTGTGGTGTTAAGAGCGACCAAAAAGGGCTTCCGTGGGCTCATGAATGTGCCTGCACCTTGAGAAGTAGACGTGAGCGTGCCGAGTGTAGGATCTCACGGAGACACACTTCTTGACTGTGATTCACAGCACTTTTGAGGAGGCGCAGTTGTTGCAGAATCTGAGGAAACGCTGCCATAACGGAGCAGATCAGCCTAGGTGCATGCCGTGCACGCGTCAGAGGACGAGGAGAGAAACGACCTCACAGATGGCTGTTGGCGAGGTGGCTGCAGGTACAGTCTTGGCTGATGTCTTGTTTTGCCACGACCCTCAGTCGGCCCAGCTACGCGATGGGTAAACCGAGGGCAATGGCGTTAGGTGCTGGAGCCACTCAACCATCGGAACGGGGCTCAACCACCGGGAAGGTGCTTTGGGGGCCCATGCAAAGCTGGAGACACACGTACTCACTTACGCTTGAACAGAGAACGGGAGAGATCGGAGGGCATCTTGAAATATCTTGAACATGAGTGAAGAGGAGGTCACTTGAGGGCCGGAGGCAGGGAGGACGAAAGCTCGGGGGCCGGAAGCAAGAGCAAAGTTGCATGAGAAAGTGTGGGCAGGGACCTGTCGGAGGCATGCTTGAGGGGTCTCCATGTTGGGTAGATACTAGCTTCTTGCAATCAACTAGCTCGTTGCAATCAACACATCACTAGTGGGCGGCGACGCATGTTGTGCTGGGAGCCTGACTCACGCACTGCGGTCAACACGCGACGGAGTCAGGTCTTGACCTACAAACGCCCCCCCCTTCGGGTATTGATATATCAATTTACCCCCCCCCCCTCCCCCCCCCTCCAAAACCAAGGAATTCGTGTGATGTATCAATTTACCCCCCCCTCCCCCCCCCCCTCCAAAACCAAGGAATTCGTGTGATATATCAATTGTCAATTTACCCCTCCCCCCCCCCTCCCCCCCCTAATAAGATAGTATCAATAATACGCTGTTTCCTGGCCGTGGTCGGCCCCTACTGCTAAAGCAGATAACACTCCAGCTCCGCTACGCGAGCTTTCGTGACATGGACCAAGTCGTTGAGCAAGAGAAGTTCTGGTCCAGGAGGTGCAGGCTTGGAGCTTGTAAGGCTGTTCCCGGAGGATGTGAACGCTTGTCCGCTGGGCTTGGTAGTGTTTTGCGTTGATGACGGGCTTCTCTTCAATCCCCCCGCCGTTAACAGCAGCCACCTGCGAAATCCTTCAAAGAATCGTGGACAAGGTGCAAGTGAGGAATGCCGGGCCTGTCAAAAAGGTGGGTTTATCAAACGCATCGGCTAGAGGCCAAGCTCGTTCAGAGAGGATCTCAAACAAGGACGCCTTGACGGCTGCACAAGGCCGCATCGAAGGTTGTGGTGTTGAAACGCAGGCTGGGCGTCGATGGAGCACGCGTGGAAAGCAGTGGACGAGCGGACGACGCGCACTTCCAACGAAGTGCAGCGGTCTTACCAGTCTTCTAACATTGCAAAAAACGCATTGTCTACGAGACATATTGAGACCCTGCAAATGTAGGTGGCTCGGGGTGTGCGAGATAGTGTGGAATGGAAGTATGTTTCGTTACTCGTTTGAAGCTAAACAATATGTGAATTGTTTTTGGCTTCTTGTGCCCCGTCTTGCCCCCACGCCGGGAGTGTGTGTTTACCCTGTGTCTCACAGAACTCTAGCTGCCAGTACCTGCCAGGTGCTCTCTCACAATCTCCACTCTACACGTGCCTGGAGGTCCAGTCACAAAACCCAAACCCCCATTGCGCTCGAGCGCACCACCTCAGACATTCACTGAGACGCTCTCTTCACAGTGGCTCCTCCTTCAGGTGCAGGAGGACACGATAGCGAGCCTGGGCAGAAAAGACCAGAAAAGAGGGCAACGAGAAGAAATGAGAAGAGCGCTTCACATGCTGCAACCACGCTCGGACGGGCTGTGCACGCGCGCACGAAAGTGGCCAAATGCGTTTTGTATTGGTGAACACACTAATTGTTAAGCGACATGTCAAAAGCAGCTGGTTTTCCGTCAAATTTGCGTTTTCGCTCGAGGCGTCCTCGAAACGCGGTTAAAGAAAAACGCACATTCCAAAGCTGCTCCACACGAGCGTCCTGTGTCTTAACATTACATGTTCGTGGTTGCACAGTCGGCAACCGTCAACAACTCGAGGAATTTGCTGGTCTTCTATTGCTTCACGTGCGAAAAGCTCATCGGAACGCAGGCGCACGAAAAACGAGAGGACTATTTCGTATTATAAAACACACGACAAACAGGCGCACGAGTACGAGTACGTGGACTTGCGAGTGTCTTGACAGGAACCTTCAAAAACTCGAGGAATTTGCTGCTTTTCTGTTGCTTCAATGTGCAAAAAGTTCATCGCAGTACAGGCGCACCCAAAGTGACAAGGACCATTTCGCATAATAAGAAACAAGACAAACAAACGCATGAGTACATTATCTGTTTTCTGTTGTGATCCTAAACCCTCAATCCTAAGCCCTCAAGACTCAACGCCACACCCAAGACACGCAAACCAGGATCATGTCAGGTTCTGCACACAGAGGTCTCACCTACACTCGAAACCCTCAATCCTGAACCTTCCAGACTCAACTCAAAACCTTAAACACTCAAACTAGGAAGACGTGAGGCTAGCAAGATGTGAGGTTCTACATGCGAAGCGTCACCATGGCAGACGAAGTGTACCCAAGCTATCGAAGCCAGAAGAGAAACGTCAGCAGAGAAACGTGTTAAGCATGTGTGCTGGGAGCGGACGTGACCAACTCCCCCGCCGTCCCGCCCCCTGTCCCCCCCCCCCCCCCCCGTCCCCCCCCCCTCCCCCCACTCCCCCCCCTTCCCCTCCCCTCCCCTCCCCCTCCCCATCATTCAGCAGCCAAATCCTGGAAACATTGCGCCTGCCGAGTCCGAATGACCCTGAAGCATGACTGCGCGCGAACATCCCGTCGGAAGGTGCGACCAGTATGGAGTATAGAAGATCCTTAAACAATTTTTCAAGCGGCAAACACCGAGGCGCCGGCGTTGTCCATCAGAATATCACCCACAGTGTCAATCAGCAGCACCTTTAGCTCAGCACCACTTTTCCCGGATCTTCCCCGGGCCCAAACTCTCGTGAGGATCTTGCAAAGTCTCGTGAAGATCTCCGACTTTGGTGTAGCATGCGTGCATACTTTCAACACTCTCTTGGACTGGGTATGACTGGGGCTTACTTTGAGACCTGTTTGCTCCCCCTAGCGGCCTAGGTTCATTTGAGTTACGGGCCCGTGAGCCCGTGGGCCCGTGGCGGGCCCGTGGGGGCCGTCTAAGACAGACAGGTTGTCATTCATCGTGATGACTTTCGCAACAGGTTAGAAGACAAGAAAGTTGATCCGGCACACGGGGTTATATGCGATGGGTCGAGTGATCTATTTGTAGAAGATGTTGTAGGGAGTCCCCCCCCTGCAACAGACAGGTTTGATCGAGCCGTTCCAATCCATGGAACCAAGCGAACTTGAAACTCGGGCAAAGTCTCGATGAAAACAAACAGTGAATCATGTCAGTTTGCGAAAACAAAGTTTGGGGGCTGGCAGGGAACCAGAGTATGTCTCTTTTATAGTTTTAACAGAAGAGACTCTTCCCTCTTGGGCACTTGTATTGCATCCGCAGGTTTTCGTTTTGATACACAGAGTGTGTCATGCTATCATGCTAATCTGCTCGGACCTTCCCAAGGATTCTCTTCAATGCAAAGTGTAGATATACATACAATATCTTCATAATCTGTCTGCACTCATCGGCTCAAACCGTGTACCCCGTTCTGTGAGAAGACCGAAGCAGCCTTTCCTTTTTGGCGAGGAGGAAGAGTATTACATCCGCACTCGTGTATTTTTCTGAAGTGCATCGTTTCTTAGCTTAAGTGTCTTGTCTTAAGTTCTGTGTCCCCCCCAAGGACAAGACTAACACATGTAACATTTTGAGGGAGGGCACGAGCATTGCATCCACAGACGTGTCTTATCCTGAAGAGCATCCTTTCTTAATCTGCTTCTGCACCCCATGGGAAACAGAAAACTTGTTCCACTTCGCGAAGAAGTAAATGTTTCATCGCAAGTGTTGATATACGTAGCTTAGGTGTCTCATCTTAAACCATGTGCACCTTTCAACGACAGGACAGATGTACAGTGTTTTTGTCGGCGGTGGGGGCATGAATATTACAGCCGCAGAAGTACTTGTTCTGAAGGCATCTTTTCTTAGTCTAAGTGTCTTGTCTTAGGCTGTTCCCTCCTACGACAAGACAAGTAAAACATGTTGAAGGGGGCATGAGTATTCAACATTCACCCACGTGTCTTACTTTTTTTTTTTTCTAATCTGACTTCGCCCTGTGGGCCCGTGGGCGCGTGTGCGTACGGACAAGAGTCGGAGCACCTCTGAGTCCTCGTCGAACATCACCCGGGTCTGGACCTTGGGTCTATGGGCCGACAAGTTCAAGATGCTCATGGAAAAGTGCCAAGGGCCCTGCCGGAGGGCGCATTTTGTCGTTGGACAGGATCTCCAAGAAGGGTGAGGCGTCGTCGGCCTGCGGATGCACGGGCGGACCAGTCGCGTCTGCGACGAGCACGCGTGCAAAACACGCAGCAGGCGCAGAGCACGCGCACGCGACACGCACACAGCGCACGCAGGCGCCAGTGGTTTTTCGCCCTCAATCCACTGCTGTTACACTCTACATGTCCGCGACGCAGATGAGCACCTGCCGGGAATGCACCACTGGCGGTGCTTTGTTAAAATTTGCAAAGCTAAAGGAACCAGAGAGGGACTTGTACCATCCGACGAAGTTCCGCTCGTCGGTGTCTTGGCAACGAAAGGGTGTGGAAGCTACAGTTGCCAATTCACGCAAGTTGCCACCTCCGCGAGCTGAAAATCTGACCGTGTCTGAGCCCAAACGTGCACTAGGGCGGAGGTAACAGAGATGCCCTTGCCATGGCCCGCATCGGATGTCATTCTTGCCACGTTGTGCCATGTTCAACTAGTCCAAGAAGGGGGCCCCTTTCGCAAGACCCCAGAGTCCCAGAGCCCAGCCTGGACAACTGCTGCAAGGGTGGACGTGAGCGACTTTCGACCCACCTGCAACGAGATGAACACAACGGCTCCGAGGAGCTGGAAGCTGCCACAAGCTTCCACAAGCTGCCTGCCGCTGAATGGCCAACATGAAGGCCTGATACCTGCGCAAGAAGAAGCTCCGAAGAAGTTCGCGCTGCGAGATCATTATCCGACTGAAAAACTCTCCGAATACCTTCTGCTCTTCTGCCGAGCCGCTCCGCGATACTGACAAACTCTAAGCTCATCGGAAACGGCCGTGCGATGTCCGTGCACACCTCAGCGATCCATCACTGAAAAAAGGCAAGCCGGGGAAATATGGCGCTGTATGGCACTGTCCTGAAATTGAGAACGCATGTCGAGGCAAAGGGCGGCTCAAAGGGCACCTTTCTCCACCTCACCTCTACGAGGCTCGAGCGGCGCCGGCGCCCCAGGGGGGGGGGGGGGGGGCCTTTTTTGAACCACATGACTTTGATGCAAGCACGTCTCAGCTCGGGCCGGCACGAGAGGCACACGGGGCCGCGGTGTGCCCGACGCTAGTGGCTTTGGTGTCGTCGGGACTTGGTCAAGAAGCTTTGACAAGGGCTTAGAATGTTCAGAATGTTTTGAATGTTTAGAATGTGTAGGAAGAGGGCCATGAATTCATGTGGCTGGGACTGGTGCACGTTGTCGCATTCCGTCGCGGCCATCGGTCGATTCCACTATCAACAGCTTGCAAAATTCCGTAGCCATTTCAACATGTTGCAGCTGTTGGTGGGAAACCTGTGGAAGCCTGGAAGCCTGTACAGAAGCCTGTGCGGAAGCCTGCGCGGAAGGGGCTCTCAGCATCACAGTTCGAACAGTTCAAAAAGTTCGAACAATTCGGCGACTTCATGTCTACAGAGCGGGGCCGCAGCCAGCTGCTGCCGCTGGGGCAAAGCTGCGGTGTCCCGACCTTGATGACCCGATGTTTTTGATGAGAGATGGTGAACATGCAGAACGCTTGGATACGGACCTGTACACAACACTGCGGCCAGTTCAATAACCGGGCTCGTGGCTGGTTTAATCGAGGTACCAGCAGCAGCACTGTCCTCGGGGCCGCTTGGGAAGTCTGTCGGGCTTCGCACGCTGCAATCAAATCATTTCACAGAGAACACAAACGCAGAAGGGGTATAAACAGAGCAGAAAACAACTGGAATGCGATTCCACAGGTACCTTCTCAAGCAAAGGCCGCCACGATTCGCCGATGCCGCAAGACTCAGTTACCCCATTCGTCGCAAACGTCACAAAAACCAACAAGGAAGGCACAGCAGGACACAGCGTGAGGCCCGGCATGAGGCCCGGCACTGAGGGCCCCCATCTCTAGGAGCCCGGCTGCCAGGCTTCGGCTGTCTTGCAGCGGGCTACCCAGGAGCGCAAGCCTCTGGCGCTCCACCTTGGACTTCCTATCTTGGGGGTTTCCCAAAAGAGTTCAATGGCTTCGATGTGTTTTTGCCAAGAATTTGGGCCTGGGTCGTCGTGAAGAAGCTTGGTTTCTCTTGTCTTGCTGCATCGGGTCTTGTATTACTTGTAACGACAGTCATGACGGGCATGCCATCAAAATCTGCTTTACAATACATGACTTCGCCTCACATTTTGCATGGTGGGGAGGCATCTGCTCTCCCTGGTGCCTTCCATGCGGTAGTCAATAGCTACAAGAGTTGTCAGGGAGAAATCCGCAAGGCAGTGAACTGCAGCCCTGAGCCTTGGGTTTTCCAGGCATCGCGCGGGCGTGCCCTCGAGCGCCGCGAGCCGAGCCTGCGGACATTGGGGGGGGGGGGTGTCTGAGTCGGGAACAAAGGCCCTTGTGAAAAGGTGAAAAGGACCCTAACTTTGAATTTTGTTTGCAACCCCCAACTCTTCGCTGGTTGGAAGCCTAGTGTGTTGAGGTTCTCGCCTTGACGTGGCCGATCGTGTCGGTCGGACGTACCTGCACAAACTCCACATCTTTGCTAAACGCTGATTCTAGAAAGAGATCACTAGACCAAGAAAAGCACAGTACAGGATACTGCCTTGACTATGTATCCTTCGCATCGCACGCCCCCAGCCTCGAGCTGCAGGACCACGTCCGCGGGCGTTCGCACGTGAAGCTGAAACTGCCTTTGCAAGACTCGGCTTTGGATGCGAACTCTCCCACAAGATTGAAAAGGGGAAGACGCAAACTTGAGGAAATAAGATGTTCAGCTGATGATAAGCTGATGTTCAGCTGTTGGTTCAAGCGCGTCAAGTTAGGAGCCGGGCTGTGCCCCAGATGCATTGATCTGGTTGACATGGTCCTGCACCTCGCAGGAGCTTCAGCCACTCCAGGGGCAAACCGAGGCCAGCAAAACACAACAACAGTGCGCAATTGTCTTCAAGCTCAGACTCCTTTAACATCACGGTAAACCCATATTGACACAGCAGGACCCCTCTTACCCCGCCCCAGCCAGCCCACCCAGCCCACCCCCAGCCCAAACGATGACGGCGTTGATGGCAACGATGCTGATGAACATGAGATGTGCGGATGCTTTGCTTCTGATGACTGGTGCTGACGATGATGCTTCGAAACCTGTCAGCTTCTACTCTCACCACACCCGCACCACGCTTTGGCCAAACCTAGTCATTGTCAAGGTTCGGCTTAACTAAAAGGTCCGGTCAGTATTGGGCCCTGGGCCCAAAACCATCAGCTCTAACGCGTCTGAGACGGCGGTGGTGGATGATAGACGAGGTACATGTGCGACATCATGATGCAGGGATTACGTCTGGTGATGATGATGATGATGATGATGATGATGATGATGATGATGATGATGATGATGATGATGATGATGATGATGATGCTTCCTCTGGCCTGAACATGCTGGTGATGGCAAAGTTGCAAGGTCAAGAGACAATTGTGCTGATGCTGGCGGCGAATGATGCTTAGCTACTACCCCCTAAGTAAGACACAACTCAAGGCTGGCTTGCGCTAGCTTTTCATGGCAATCAGGCTTCATCATTAACGACTAGCTTGCAAAAGGCACAGGCTCAGATGGGCGCCCTGCATTTGAAAATTCTAAGCATGCTTCTGCGGCTTGGCACGGCATTGAACTGATCTTCTCAGATTCCTCACCTTGGTCCCCTGAGAGGTTGGGGGAATGTTTGCATGTGCCTTCTTGAGCCGCGCAAGCTCTGCGAAGATCACGTTAGCAACTTCCTCGTCTTTCGCCTCGACAAAACCAGCTCGTGCCATTCCGCCACATGGTAACCGTTGTGTGCAAGGCTCCGCCTGACGACGCAGATCTTCCTTTGAGAGCGTGGCAAGGACCTGCCAACTGTGCACAGAAGCTGCACCCAGAGATGGAGATAGTTTCCGTACGCCCGGGATACCTCTTTTCACTAACCATGCCCTCCGTCACATCTGCTCCGTCCTAGTTGGAACACTGACATCGAACTAAATAAACGAGAACACACGGGAGCATCGTCCAACTTCCGGCGTTTGAAACAACCTTCAACAGGCGTACCAATGACAGAACCGGCCTTGCCACTACAATGGCCAAATGCTGCTGCAGCTGCATGGCCTCGCAAGATATGATCCCTGTTCCTTTACAAGATATTCCAAGAAAGATTGCAGTTGCAATCAAGGGCAAGAGGAAAGCACACGTAACTTCCTCGGACGTTGCTCAGGCCCTCCGGCAGACACCCCTGTTTTAAGGCAGCCTCGCATGCATGCGAAGATTTTGTCAAAACGCCCAACGTTAGGGTCCCAAACTCTGCACACAACTCTGGGGGATGTGGGTGTATGCCTTGAACAACAAAGTGCATCGAGAAGGCGGAACAGTATGCAGCACTCAAGCGTGATATACACTAATTGCGATACGAGAAGGAAAAAAGTAGCTTCGAGATGCTTGAGGCAGACCTCGGCACAGGCCGAAGTACACAAGATGCGAAGGGCGGCTTGACACGCCGGCCGAGACAGTCGCAGCGGAACATGCAGAAAGAGGTCTGATGTGGAACATTGTCAACAGGGCGTGTATGCCCACAAATGTGGAGAAATGGCAAAGACAGTGAGAATCTCACATGTGCATTCCATCCACCGACTATCCTTGCACTCGGCATGCTGCTCACAATATACGTCGGTGCTTGGGGATTGAAACAGAAGGTGAACCTCAAAACCATACAAATGGAGCAAAGCCTTTGGCAAGTGCTGCGCACCAACTTGCTGTCGCCCTACTAGCCTTGCTCCTTGTTCTCCAGCGGGCCGTAATCCATTGTGTTAGCTGCTGATCCGTGGCGATTGCCAGGGAAACGCAAGTGAACACGTTCATTCGAATCCCGATTGTGGAAAACTCCACTGCAAAACACCTTGACCTGAAGCCTCTGAAGCTGAATTCGAATCCTCCCCCATTCAGACTCACGCAGCGTCTACTCGTCACCAAGGAAATGCACATGAGCGGACGACACCGAACGCGCCAGGTGGCCTGGGAGCACCGCAGATAGAAAGGCCTGAACCTGCCATCAGGCTCTCACAATTGCACTTGAGGTTTTGGTGTTGATGCTTTGTGGTTGAGGTTTCGAGGCAGAGGGTTTCCTTGCAAACAACACACGGCAACGCGAGCCCTTCTTTTGATATGCACTGTGTGCCCTGACCATGGCTATGCTCAGTGAAAGTACACAAAATCTTGCTGGTGTCGCACTCTTTGCCATCGCATGCCTTTGGTCACATGCACGGCCTTCCTCCTCTGCTTCTTTCACCAGTGCGTGCCGATCTAGTAGTAGTAGTAGTAGTAGTAGTAGTAGTAGTAGGAGGTGTAGTAGTGTAGTAGTGTAGTAGCAGTAGTAGTAGTCGTCGTAGTAGTAGTAGTAGTAGTAGTAGTCGTAGTAGTAGTAGTAGTAGTAGGAGTAGGAGTAGTAGTAGTAGTAGTAGTAGTAGTAGTAGTAGTAGTAGTTGTAGTAGTAGTAGCAGCAGCAGCAGTAGCAGTAGCAGAAGTAGCAGAAGTAGCAGAAGTGATAGTAGCAGTAGCAGATCACCACCTCGTTGAAGGTGTTGCATGGCTGCTGAAGCTACCCGTTCAATGCAAACACAACCCACGGCGGAATTGTATCCAGTCGCCCTTCAACCCCTGGCAACTGATTGGCCTCCGGCGAAGTCCAGCACTCCACATCTTTGCCTTGCCAGTTAAAGCCTGGGCACGACTTCAGAGAGACATTTTTTAATGCAACGACGCCTGCGGAGCCTCATGATGCCTCATTCGATGTGACGAAGTCGTCATTGCATTGCCGGCTTTCAAAACCACTTTCAACCCAAACTATGCACAAAATCGCATCATGCTTACTCATGAGAGGAAGTGCAACAAAACGGATCCCTGCCACCTTTTACGACAGCTTCCAAGAAAATGGCAGCAGCCTGCCTTAGTCCAACAGATCACCTCAATCGAGTGCACGACGTCGTACATGTTGGCTTCTGAGTGAACCATCAGGAAAAGACCAGGCTGGTGTCTTCGGCACCAGCACTGTGCTGTGATGGATCGAGAAAAGTAGCGTAACAATGCGGCAATTGCTGCTTTGCAGTATATTGCCGACTTGAAAAGACTCGGAAGGCAAACTCTATTTCGTTTATCGAAGACATTCAAAGACAACGAAGCTGAACCATCTGCGCCAACTCTGGCTGTGGAATCCCAGAATCCGCACGGCCAAGACCTCTCTCAGATCCCAAGCTGATGATAGGCAGAAGACTCGGGAGTGGGAACTGCCGACACCAGGGATACCAAGGAGCTGCTCCTCTTCGGCTGCATGCAACGGTTCAGATCTCCTGAAGCTTGCAACTGTCAGACCTCAAAAGTTTATAACAGTTTAAGCCTTATAGGGACCTTGGGGCTTAGATGGAAACCCTACGGAGGCTTTGCAATGTGGCATCATGTTCACAAGGAGAATCGGCCGCGCCTTCATTCACCCGTATATACACATACTGGCCACCACTCTTGCCGCTGCGGATAAGGTTATCGTTCTCGTCAACAGACAGATAACCTGCGCCGTGCCGGGTTCCAAGGTGCCGTTTATGGATGCCCATGGGGTTTGCAGCATTTTGGGGCGCTTTGATGCGCTTTGCACATGTTGCACACCTGTCAAGAAGCCGCATCATATAGGCCACGAACCCGAACACAGACACGTGACATGTAATTCACGAAGAACGCGCCGACGCTCGACACGATTCTCGGAACTCGGCCTCAAATTCGATGTCCGGCAAGTCCGCCCGCATCGGCGCCGCAACTTTCCGAGAACAAACGCGTCACCCCTTGCCTTCTCTTCCTTTCGACCTCCATGCTGCAGCTAGAGATGCCAGCAATTCTCACATCTCGCGTTGCTCGAACGCGCGAACGATACATTACGTACTCTCCGAACCTAGAGCCACCGCGAGACACGTGCGACAACTACAGACAAGCAAAACACATCACGAAACAATGCCAACCCGCAGGTGTCTGCACATACAACCGTCGCGCTACACGCACGAGGCACAGTAACAGTTCCAGCCTCAGAACACTCACCAAGATTGAGAAAAACGCTGCGAAAACGCGGGATTTCGCCAACTACGTGACGCCAAAACGATGCTAAATTGCAGGCTTCCGATGCAACCGCGTGCAACCCTCGTGAATGCTTGCGAACGCTTCACGGGCGCACGCGCAGGGCCGCGAGGTTGCTTTTTGTCTCCTCATTCGACCCGTGGACCCCCACCAACACACAAAACACAGGAATTGCTTCTGCTACGCATTCGAGAGAGCTGTCTGCCTCCCGCCAGTAGAATGTTGCACTGGTCGTCGTACTGCAGCAGCGTGGCTCCCTGCGTTGTGCGCACCTGTTCCCCTGTGATAACAAAGCCGTGGAGCCATCCCACCATCTTCGAGGGACCATTGCACAGGACCCAGCAGCCTTGCATGCGGAGGATCTGATCATTCCGCCTTTCTTCGTGAGACAGCACCTTGTGTTTTGGTCTCGTCTTGCCGAATGTGACCGGTGCGGGATGCGTCAAGTCGGGTGGCGTTGACGGCGGTCGAGGCGGCTTCTGGCAGTTCCGGCACTGCCATCCCAAGTCGTTCCACACGAGTTCTGTTTGGGTTTGCCCATCGCTCAGCGACCGGGAGACCACGGTTTTGTAGCCGTCCGTAGAAAAAGACCAGCTACAGGCCGAAATGCTGAAGATGCTGTGGCTTGCATCACCCATACTTGCTTGGGAAGCAAAGATTGGAACACGCAGGGACCCCAGGGAAGGGCTTCCGACAGCTCCGACACTTCCGATGTGTTCGGAAGGAGGGCCAACTCTGGGACTTAATTGCTCCTCGGACCGGATGGACCGCATTGACTTCTGGGAGTGCGTCCGCTTCGCGTGTCTCAGCGTCGGGACACTGCTGACGACACTGTTGGCACTCGGAGTACCTGGAGCACCCCCTAACTCCTTTCCAAAAAGAACATCGAGGCTAGCGGATGCGGCAGCATTGTCATCTGGAACAGACGGCAGGCCGGGTAAGGCTGGTGCTTGCGAGCGGGCGGCATCCACGGCCGAGAAAAAGACTAGCCACGCCGGCTCGGCCACACCTGTTTGAAGCAGGCGCAGTCGCAAGGATTCGTGCCGCGACTCCAGCTGCATGCGGACGATGATGCTTCTCAAGTGCCACAGCTCAGAGCGGAGGAGCAGCAAAAATGAGTGCTGATCTTCCGTGGCCAAGTAGTCCAGGAGGGACTTGCCTGCGAGATCGATTCCGAAGTACCGGTTCTCTGCCGCGCTGCACCTGTCCAGGGTACAGCTACATGGAGCTGCATAGAACTATCATATAGAGTCCATAGAGCAGGCCCGGACTCCAAGTGAGATCTTAGTGTCCTAGGTCAGGGACTCCCTTGCTCAGCTAGGGACGGGAAGATTGTCAGGTCACTGGCGATGCGGAGGACACCGTGGTCCAGAGCTTCCACGCACTCGTCGTCCTTGTTGTCCGGGCCCGTTCCCTCATCATCGGTCAGCTCTGTCAGAGTGAGGTTTCTATCACTGCCATCCGTCAACACACGGGCGTGAGCCTCGCAGCACCAACCGAGACGGTACAAACACGTGGCCACCATAAACAAGGCGACGCTATCGGCACCATCGGCGACGCCATCATCTGCAGCTCCGGTGCCCTCCGCGCCCCCTGCACCTAGCCGACCTACTATGAAGGACAAGACAGCTACAGCATAGACCAACCAGCTAACTGCACTCCTGAGAGGGAGCATGGCAGTCGCACTCATGGCCACACACACGAGACCAAGCTGTGAAGGGCCCCCATCTGAGCGTGGCTGTGCCATGAGGGCACAACAGAAGGATGCCAGGGGCACCCAAATCCACTCATAATACTGAATCCTGGTCTCACAGAACTTCGAGGAACTCGAGAGCGGGATACACGCTGTGGCGACTGCAGCCACAAGCCAAGCCAAGGCACCAGCTAAGGCGAGGCCTGCATGCAGGTCCAAGACCTCAATGTCTTCATGGTCTCCACGGTCTCTACTTCTCTGCGCGAGGAGGCGCAGCTCAGAAAAAAGCCAGATGCTGACAACCGAGATCCCGCCGACAAATGTTTGCAGCCGCCGCCCCTCTGCCAAAAGGATCAGGAAGTTCGCCTCGTCCTCGTGCGACGTAAAGCGAATGTCCAAAGATCCCAAGCAGCTCCAAGGCCGGCCAAAGAAGCTGCCAAGACAGGCCATGACAGGACAGGAAGCCTCTTTGTTGGCCTCTATGAATGCACTGCATATGGTCTTTTACATAGTGCTTGATTGTGCTTGAACATTTTGCATTCTGCAAGGTTCTGGAACGTTTTGGTGCTACATGACTTGGGTTGCAGCTTGGAGGGTCCGGTACGGGGCTGAGTTTGTGTGGAGCTACTTGCAGTCCCCGGCTGCAGCCGCACTCCTTAGGTGCAAGCTCGCTGCGCCCTCAGATGCTGCGAGCCCGAACCACAGGCGTTTGCAATGGAATTACTTTTGGATTCTGATCGTTCTGATCGTTCTGGACAGAGGCAGGCTCCTGGGTTCGCAGGGGCCCAAGGCTCTCACCAAAACTGACAGGCTGAAGCCGACTAAACGAACCCGGCACGCCAATGCACGCCAATCGTCTCTTTCTGCAGCAACCAACGTGAGACTTTGCGACAATGCGCTGACCGCCGAGATCAAGCCCGAGCCGACCCCTGCATGGCCCGCGCATTCTCCCGCCCATTCCACTTGTGCGAGTATCCGCTACAAGCCTGTGTTGAGTTCGCGGAAGAAGGGACATGGGATCCTTGTCCTCAAACCTGTCCAGAGATTCCAGAGCTTCTCTTGCCATGAAGGCTTTGGGCTTTGCCCCTTGCCAATGTGTGCACTGCGCACGTTAGGTCGGCTCGTCCGATGATCTCTTCTGAACTGTTGCAGTGATCCGTCCCTCCTCATCCGCCTTCTCAGAGCTTTCTCCGTTCACTGCTGCCGCATGGAACCTCATCTTGCATTGCAAGCCAGTCTCGCGGCAAGAGCCTGGTGCTGAGCTTCACAAGCCACATGCTCCGCGGAGCTCAGCTGCTTTCTGCCCCATGCCTTGAAGATGAAGAGGAGGGCGACACAAGGATGCTGCAGATGCCCACAATGCCCCCACATGCCAACCTGCATGGTTCAAAAGCCGTGCGTTGGGCCTCCGAGCAACTGAGCGAGGCGCTGCTAGAGCATCTCTTCAGCGACCGAGTGTACCCTCCCACGTGGCACTGGAGTCCAGGCAAAGTAGCTTCGACGACGCCTCATGGCTGAGTCTACCAAACCCTACTGTGTGTTCCTAAGCATTGCACGATGTGCTCGAAACAGAAAAGGTGTGAACCCCGAAAAAGTGGGCATGAGGGCATCACGAGCTTCGGCCTGGAAGCTGGTCTCAGGATCACCCAAGCCACCCTCAGGGAAAAGGTGGCCGCGCAACTCAGCAACATACTGATTTTGTGCGTTGGACTTTCCTGCAATCCCCCCCCCCGTGCCTCCCTGTGAGTCTCCGGCATCGCCACATCAAGAGCAGTTCCAACCGTTCCGACAGCTGCTGGCCTCCGAGCTTCCTCACCTTCCGGAGCTTCCTGAGCTTCCCTCATCGCGACAAAGTGGGAGCTGCCAAGCAGGGGCGCAAGCGAGCCGGAGCCTTCGAAGCCTTCGAAGCCTTCGAAGGCGAGCGAGTCTGCCACTTCGCTCATACCGCTCTCCATGCGCACGCTCGGAATCCTCGGTGGGGCCGCTCCTGGAAGAGCCTGGAAACCGCTCTGTCTTGGGGTGCTCGATTCCTGCAGGCTTGGGCTGCAGGGCTTGACCTTGCGTGCCTCTGTGCACGTCGTGCTGCCAGAGCCAGAGCCAGAGCCCTCTGGCTCGTTCGGCAGACGACTGAGGCCAGGGCTCGCCCCACGTGAGGATTGGCGCGGAATGCGTCGCGGCAGAAGCACTGATGCATTGGTAGGGGGCGATGCTCCGGCACTCGGGCGAGCGCGGTGTTCTGGCCCCCGATCACAAGAGGCCGGACGTCTGGCCACACACTTGGGGTGAAAGGTGTGCTGCTCCGTCAAACCATCTCTGTGCTCTGCACGCAAGGCCCTGGCCGCCTCGATCTTCGCCTGTCGTCGGGCTGCCCAAGCAGCCGGGTCGCCGCTGGCCATTGCTGGGTCTAGAAAAAGGGAGATGAAGGATGACCCGAGGCAGCCCATACAGCAAAGTCGGTCAAATCCCAACCCTGTACACCGTACACGGAGTGTAAATTTGGTTCTCCCTCTGCAGCAACTCTTCAGGAAATACTCAGGCAACTTGTTTCCGGTTTCAGGCGCCGACCAGCAGGGACCGGTCCGGCCGTTTCCACCATCGGCCAATCGGCCTCTATCGGCCTCGGCTTCCCTACATGCCCCGCTTTTGTTCCTCCTATTCCCTTCCACACATTTCCACACTCCCCTCCTCCCTCTTCGCTCCCTCCGCTCCCGCTCCGCTCCCTCTCCTCTCCGCAATGCTGCAGCGCTCAGCTCGCAGCCCGAAGCCGGCAGCTGCTGTACGCCCGCTGGGTGCCGTGGGAGCAGAGCCGCTGGAGGAGGTGCTTCCCGCATGTACGTGACGCGTGCGAGATGGGCCCAGGAGGCCTTCCTACAAGCATACTCAGGGAATGTAGAGGCCACCAGGATCACCACTCATCCTGCAAACAGCTTAGCGGGCTGATGCGGGCTGTTCGGGGATAGCTGCTACGTACGCCAATCGGTCCACTTTTGGCTGCTGTCTACGGCGTCAGTGGGGTTCAGTGGCCGCCAGGCCTTGGGCCATGGCAGTTTTCTGGTATGGCTTCTTCGAAGCGTGGAACGACGAGTCGGGACATGCCCCTTAAGTTCTAGATCAGCAACTGGCAGCTGGCGAAGGCTGCAGGCATCTCGAGCGGCATTTCTCTACAAGCAAACTTCAGTGTGCAAACAAATCAGCCACCGGAGAAGCCAAGTCGTCTGAGCTTGTACCTTATCATGCCTTTATGCATACGACTGTATATGTGCGCGCTAAAATGTAAGCAGCCACCTTTGGCCGCTGGCCTCATGGATGCGCAAGGGCTTCGCCTGGAAAACCTGAAAAGACACCAGCTTTGGCAAGCCTTGATTCCCATCGACTTTGTGCTCTGAAAATCCTTTTGCCCGAGTGAGGGGCTCTTCATTCGCGTTAACCGCTTGGACAACCTGTGCCAGGCTAGGCAACTGTGGGCGGGGATTCCACTGTGCTCGCTTCGTGTCTGAGGTGGCGACTCGTCTGGCAACGTGATGGAGCTCACCTTTGCACACGGACGGGCAAAACGCGCAGAACGACGCTCCCGAAACTTAAACAGATTCATCTGAGCACACAACAGTGCCCACGTTTTTCGCACGGAGTGCCAGTTCGAAGACATCCCCACGTTTGAGGCCCAAATAACCTCAGTTGCTGGTGTCATGTTTTATTGCCCTGAGATTTACCCGGCTTGCTGAGGTCGTGACTGGAGCTTTGGCCTCGGAACTACAACATGCCGACACTTTCCGAAACAATCCGAATCCGAAACATGCCCACAGCTCTGTCAGATGTGTCTCCCGCTGAAAACGGAGAAGCGGTCCCTCTTCCACCCTGCATAGGCCTTAGATCTCTCAGATCTTCTCAAGTACTCGACAGCTTCTCGGGGCCAAGGGCCAGGCAGCCCAGCCAGTTCCAGGGGGTGCATAGGCCACGCCCGAATCCCCGAAAAGGCTTTTCCACCGCTGCTCCGCCTCTGACAACAAAAACCCGGAGCAAAAAACCCCGAGATTTTTAAACAAAAATCTTGCGACATGCGTCACCAGCAACGATGCCATCAGCTGCCTGCTGCTTTAGAGTGATGGGGCTGCAAGGATCCTCGCAGTCGCGTCTTGCTTCACGTTCTATGTTTGACTTATGTTTTTAGCATTCTTTCGCGAGGCTGCCGAAAAGATCAAGTCGTCTTGGGCGCAACCGTATTTCGAAATTATCTTTTGCGCTCTTCTTCTTCTACGGGGCTTGAGGAACCCAGAGGGCCGCCCGCGCGCTGGGCGCGCCCAGATCAAGTCCAGTCTCGGTGAGATTCGTGCAGCGAGGATTGTGTGGAATTCCCCCCCTAGACCCCAGCACGGGAATCCCTGTCTGTGACACCACATTGCCTGGTGAGACCACCGGGCTTCCGCACTTGTCTCTCCCCTCTAGCCCATAAGCCCCTAAGAAGTCTAATCACGGTGCTTGCTCCGGTCATCACTCCTATGAGCTCGAGTGGATTTCGTGCTTATCAACAAAACTAGGTAAGTATGCTTAGTGTGTCAGTTTTGCACCGAGCCCGTTGTCACCCCTCAAGTGCTCTGTCCATATGGGGCAGTACTGGACACGTCCAGAGCCTCTTCCCCTTTTCTCCTTTCACACTCAACCTCACAACTTCCCCCAACCCCCCCGACCACAACCTTCCCGAAGTCCTCCCCGCCCCCACAGAAAAGAGGACCCTTGAAACTCCACAACACCTCGTTAGGCTCAGGGTTTTGGCATCTTGACGGTTCGTCCTGTGTTGTGCTCTCTCTCTCTCTCTCTCCTTCTTTTTCTCTTCTTTCTCTCTTCTTTCTCTCTTCTTTCTCTCTTCTTTCTCTCTTCTTTCTCTCTTCTTTCTCTCTTCTTTCTCTCTTCTTTCTCTCTTCTTTCTCTCTTCTTTCTCTCTTCTTTCTCTTCTTCTCTCGTTCTCTCTTCTCTACTGAGCAGCTTTGGAGGGGGTCATGACAGAAAACTTCTTGACAGGGCATGTATAGTCTTGTTCTTAGGGGTCATGGCGATTTGGGCAAGTGTTCACGTGTGGGCCGGATTGGAGGGTTCCTCTCTCCTTCTTCTCCATTTGGTCTCTCTCTATCTCGTTCACTGCTGTACTTCATGAAGGCAGAGGTGGCTTTGTTGCACTGTTTGCAGTCCTTTTTGTGGTGTCTCACTTCGCCTCTCCAGGATCTGGTGGCCGAACTCGTGGTTGCGGTGGTCGCCGCGGTGGCCGTGGTCACCGAACTTGCCTTGCCCGCGGAGAGGCCACTTGAATGAATCGGAGGAATGCTAACGACGACCCAGATAAGGTGTGCGACACATCACACGAATTTTCTGGAGTGCCTCTCTTGTCGGCAGCACCAGGTCTTCTGACTCCTCCTATCCAGGACAGAATACAGAGAACCTGCACAGTACTCAAATCTGCCCGTGCCTCTCTCGACATCAGGGCTTCTTTGGCATACTGATTGCTTTCCGAGGACTTGTCCACTGCCCGAGCCTCCATGCTATGACACATCAGCCAGACGGAGAACCCGTACTTGCAACTCCAAGACCCACGCGACCCATTCACGAACTTGAGACTGTTGTGCCTGTCCAAAGGAACAACAGAGTCTTCAAAAGCACATACTGCTGCGATCCACATTTCCAGGAGGACGCAGTGGCCGATGCCAAGTCAGCAAAGCCGCTAGGCCTCCTCTAGCTCTGCAGCATCTTGAGCCTTCGTGCACAAGGCAGGTTGGTGCACTCCAAGGGCAACAGTGAGCTCAGCTTCAGCGCCCCTGAAGTTAGCTTAGCTTCACGAAGGCAAAAGCGTACATCGTATTTTTGCAAGGCCCCGAACTGCGGCGAAGGCATTTGGTTCACCTGGCCTCCTTTGCCTGCTCTTGCTGCAGGGCCTCTGCAAGAGTCTCCCACGCACTTCCCCGGATTCAATGGACCTATATATACATATATACAATACATATATATATATATATATATATTACCATATATATATATATATATATATATCTTGTATATATATATATATATACATATATACATATATACATATATACATATATACATATATACATATATACATATATACATATATACATATATACATATATACATGTATACATTTATACATATATACATATATACACATATAAATATATGTATAGATGTAGACTCCGTAACAAGCACTGTGGAAGACGGTGAAGGACGGCCACCCCAACCTGCATGGAGGCCACTTCCCCAGATGCGGAGGTTCGCGTCCCTTTAAGGTCGGCATCTGCTTCGTGCAATGAGGCCTCAGTGTCAGGCCACGAAGACCTTGAGCAGCAATAGGTAGTTCAGGCGAAAGCCCCATATTGCTCTGTACTTCTCCGAGGACCCGACCCAGTTGCTGCGGAGAGCGTCCTCCAGCTTTCCATACCTTGCCATCCTCGGGGCCGGCATAGTGCTTGGCAACAAATGCAGCAACCTTCAGAGAACTTCAGAAGTTCGGAAAACTGAGGCTCCGGACATGGTCTTATCCACAGGTGGAGGGTGTGGACAAGGGCACACCTGAACGATCCATCAAGTATTCCGCAAGGCTTCGGGCTCCACATCCAAGTGGGCAAGTTCACAGAGCAGCTGACGACCATCTTGCCCGTGGCGCGAGAAAACCTGAAGGCTTGAACGCTTTGCTCTCTCACATTCTCCCACACATCTGAGAAGCTTCTGAGGCATCGGCCGCGAGCTAGATGTGCTCCTCTGCAAGTTAGATGGCGAGTCCCTCGACACGGGTGGTGCACTTACCCTGCCAACAGTAAAGGCATTCCAACAGATTCTGCTCTGAGGCCGGGCACATGGTGGCCATTGTGCCTGAGTGCACTGAGGGATGATCAGAACGTGAAAGACGCCCGCGCATCACAGTGTCCCCCAGCGGCCCAACAGAAAAGAACTCGAGCAGTCCAACGGCTTGCCACACTCTCTTTGTGAAGGGAACCCTAGAAACGGAATCCTGGAACACTCCTCATCACTCCTCCAAGCATTGCCAAGCATCCAAGCAGCCTCGGCCCGGTCAGAGAAGAGGTTGGCCGCTGGGTTTCCCGGAAATGTCCGCGGCAAAACGGAAAAGAATCAGGGCCCGCGAAAAACGGAGAACACTGAACACTTCTCAGCCGTCAAGGGTGTGCTGGCTTTTCATGCTTTGCTTTGGGGTCATCTCTTGACATTCAGCGGCTGGAAGCTCGAAGGTCTTTTCCGCTGATGTTGCATGCGTCTGCAGCAATTCGTAGTGTGGTTCCTGTAAGAGCAGGGAAAGTCACACCAAGACGTATCAGTAACCACGGCATGGCTATTCATTTCGGAAGCGACTACTCACTCATCTTGCTGATGACCTGCACCAGCTTCACTGGGTCGAGATTGCCATGACAAACTATATGAAACAATCTGATGTAAGGTTGCGGCGAAAACAATCCCGGCTGCCAGGAAAAAACTTCCCACGGAGAAGAGAATCATGAAGTTCTTGGCTTGTTCTTCCCTGCAACAGTCACGACAATCGTTGGGAGCATCTGCATGTGCACGGCGCGAGCTTTGCATTGGCCAGCCGCGGTAATGGGGTGGCTCTGCGCTTGCCGCAGTAGCTGCGATACGACTCTCCCCAAAGGGCATCCAATGCAAAAAGCCAACAACCCATGGAGTTTGCATGAACACGCATGAACGGCTCCCACAAAAAAAAACCGACAACACTAAGCAGGCCCATGGAGCTGCAGGGAACGGCTGGAGAAGGTCACTCAAGCTGAAACTCAGCCATCTGCATCTCTTCCCCACAGCCCCGCTTTTTTCAATCACAGCTCACCCTACCAAACATACCCAGACATCAAGCATCATCAATCCATTGCCCAAGCCGTAACGGAGGCTGGCAACACGTAAAAGTTGCGGTGTGGCAAACTCTCCGCCTGATGTCGTAGCTGCCGGGCTCTGCGGCCCAGGCCTTGGACCCCGAAAAAAATGAAAAAAAGACCATGGGCCCCAGCACGTCGTGCACTGCTAGTCGATGCCCTCGCACTTCCGGCACTGCCTCATACTCCCTCCACTTACCAGCGTAAACCGGTTGTCAAGACTCGGGCGGGCTCTGCCATGAGTGCGAACGCAGCAGAGAGCATTGCTTTCTCCACGACAGGCTTCGCCTCTAGCGCCATTTGCCTGACGATGCTTTTCAAAGGCTGCAACAACTCAAGGATGCGGCAACCCGCCTTGGAAGTTCAGCAGCGACAGGTTTCAACTCCTCCCAGTCGAAGGCGACCGCATGAAATGGCATGAACTTTCCTCTAACAAGAACCCAACCTGGACTCCAGTCGCCACATCTCTCGGTGTTGATGGCCTAAGAGGCGCAAGCTTCACAAAGGGCAACCTCAATGCCAAAGCAGACTTCAAGCAATGCATGAACTATGTCGCTGATTTCAGCTAGACTGCACATGAGATCTGCTAAGGCTTTTTCACTGCACGGTTGGGAGCCAGCACGAAAGTAGGGCAGAGCGCCTGAGGTGCAACAAGTGTGCTGCTCAAGTGTGGCCATCACTGCTGCAGATCCCTTCATGTCCACAGACGTGAGGTCGATTCGTCTGAATCAAAGCGGGGCAACCAACTGCCAGGGAAAGACGACAATGACCAGCAGCGTATCCGAACATTGCAACGTTTTGGCCACACCATCCAAACTTAGTTAATCCCTACATAGACAAAGACGTCAGACGCACCGCAGCGAAACCATATACCATGCACCCATGGAACCTTCACGGCTCCTCCAACCAGCAAGGCAAGGGCGAGGCCCAAAATTGGCCTGCGAGCCATGATTTGCCTAAGTTCAGGATGTTCCAGGATGTTCCAGCCCCGTCGACCCGGCTTGGACCCAAACGCTGCGATGCAAACGGCTGTTTCTGCAACTTCCAATGCACAAAGATGTGGAACAAGCGCAAACAATTGCTACACTGTTGCAGATTGGCATCGCTCCACTTTTGGGCGGCCGCTCACATCCTTGACCGTCTGCCTTTGAGCCGGTCCAAGAATTCTGTCGAGCAGTTGAGCTGCGAACGTTATCCTGACAAGTATCCACGACGAGCTGATCTAATGGTCCCAGCGTCTCAATGAAGACCAGACACACAACTTTGAAGAAAACAACGCACACGTGCTCATGCCAGGACTCGGGTTCACCATCATCAACAATTGCAGAACGTGAAGGGATGTGAAGGGTAAAGCCTCTGCCCCTGCCACTTGAGCGGTGGATGGCTGGTGCAAGCCACCGGAGGAGGCAGGCACTTTGCTTCGACTTCACGAAAACAACATCACATGCAAAGTTTAAACTACATCATACCGCGAGTGCAAACTACGTCACACCGCGAGTGCAACGAGCTCTAGTTTTTGTAGGGCATGGCAAATAGCCATGCCTTTCCAGTAGAGGCCTGAAAACGTTGCTGTGGCGGACCGCATTGCTGGTGCTCCAGAGCCTCTACAGTATGCCCAGCACGCCTTGATGCGAACGGCGTTCAGATGATGAAGGCTCTCATGGCAATATCACTGCGCCACATGTCGATGCCTCCAACACATCTTTTGCCTCAGGCAGGCTGTTACAGGAGTTTCACATGACATCGGCAGTCATATACCTCATGGCTTGCTGGCTTACATGGTGTTCCAAACTTCAGATGCAACAACTCAAAAGGAGCAATGGTGTGACGGCTTGCGATGGACTTGCGGTAGCCATTGCTCCAGATGATGTAGCCATCGCTGGTACATTGGACCTGGTTGTGAAGCACAACTTGCAACTTGTGGGACGAAAACTAGACTGACATTCTCGTGGCTGCCTGAACTAGCCTAGGTTTCCAGTTTCCAGCCCCTATATGCCCATCTGGGGAGGGTCCCTCTTGGCATTCAGGTCCTTCCCTGGAGAGAACATGCAAAAGCAGAGGAATACGCTTTACAGTGCCTTCCTTGATCGAAGGGTTTTTGGATCCTGGAAAGAGAGGAAATGAGGGCAAAACTGGTAACCAGAGCGGAAGCAAGCGCATGGCATCATGGCATGTATCCGGGTCTTCGAGGCGTTGCTTCTCCCTTCACACACATGGATTAGTTTCAGAAAAAGAACATAAAGACCTTGCCGCTCTCTGTTGCAACGCTCTTCGGAACATGCCGCCCTGTAATTGCAGCAGAGTCGGTGATCCCTTTCTTTCATGCTCCAGCTTCTTCAACCAGAAAGGGGAAGGCATAGCTGCCTTCTCTGGGTTGGGAGACGTGGATGGAATGCCTGCCCAAACCCTAAGCCTACATGTCCTAGAAGCCTTCCGAAACCGGCCTGCACAGGTAGTGTGTACTTCAATCTGCGGGCTTTGAAGATGCACGAAACACGTGGTCTACTTTTTCGAAAAAGTAATTGTGGTTGTTGAAGAGCTGCGAAATGTCGATGAGACATCTTGCACAAACCGCCCCCATGGATGGGGATCCGACAAATTTGCCTAAGCTGTTTCGGTGCACAAAACCCTGCTTAGCACCCTCCCTTCTGTTCGAGATGCCTGGCCGGTCCGCTTTCCAGCATTGGGCATGCGTGGGGGCATGGAAACCTACCACTCTAGCGGGTGAGCGCGTGTTGAAACCTCGGGGATCCTTCCCGACCCAAGAATCCAATCTCACGTCCCAACAAGCCCAACACTCCAGCACATTGCCCTCAGAAATGCAGCCCTGCGGACCAAGAAGGTCCAGTGAACGCATTGCTGGCTTGGCTGGCCCTCCAACGCGGAAAATGCCAGGTTGAGCATTGCCTGTGCCACACTCTTGAATGTTCCGATGCTTGGAAGCTTTTTTCTGGGTTTCGCCTCGTGGTTAGGATTTGTATTCGGTGGGGATGATGGGCCCCCAAGAAAAAGCCCAAAAAAAAACCATTAAAACAAAGGCCGGAACTACATAGGGTTGAGGGTTCAGGGTGTCGGGTTTCGGGGTTTAGGACTCAGGGTCTTGGGTTGAAGGTGGCCCTCCGCCAAGCGTCTGCTCGGGCCCCACAAAGCTTCGGCCACATGGCGGCTCGGCGCCCGGCATGTTGGGAAACACCCATCATTGTTGCGAAGAGGGCCTAGTGCTTCGGTTGAAGGCTTGACGGTTTGGGGGGGGGGGGGGGGGGGGAGTGTCTACAAAGGGGACATGGAGATATGCTGACGGTAGCTAATGGGAGTTGACACGCCCAGCACAGCAGCTAGCCGAATCGAACCCCACAAACCCCCAAGCTGGTTGACATCCGAAGCGAATACTCACACACATAACAAAAAAAGTAACATGCTTTGTGCCAAGGGAGCTGGAGCAGCACGGTTCATGAAGTTGTAGGAGGTCAGTCCTCTATAGGTTGATTCTCGAGCTTGGGGTCTTTTTGAGTCTTCACGGTGGCTCATTCACTTCTTGAGGCTTGACGACCGCTCTTACCTGCTACCAAGCATGGGGAGAATCAATAGGCTTGTTTTCAACGTGCGAGCCTCTGCGACTTTACGAAGGTTCAACGGTTGAGGTTGGGGTGAAGCTCGGAGTATCTCGGAGTATCTTGGAGTATCTTGGAGTATCTTGGAGTATCTTGGGGCTTTTAGAGCCGAACTTCGGAGTCGGCAACACAAGGCTCTTCAAGTCTTTGGGGGTCCTGACTCGGAGACCATTTCGAAGAAAGGCTTCATGGTAGGCCTGGACATGAGGTCATCCACTAGAGCTTCGGAGAAGCCACCTGGGAGCACGTCTGGGAAGCGCCGGTACACGGCCATATTCACTATAGAAAAGCAGGCCAACACAGGACAAGATCGATCAAGTATTCTGGTTAAGATGCAGAGAAGCAGCAATAAGACGGAGCCCACATGCCCCCCTAACATCCCGAACAGCTGTGATGAAACCCCCTTGTTCGTCGAGTTTCCGGCTTCGGAAAGCAAGACAACACAAACTCCAGCATCGCAGCGCAGTCAGCAGCTTCTGAAGATTAGGATGCTCGGGACTTCGAGCGGGTCAGGGGCCTTTGGAGCGAAACCTCCCGAGCACTAGCCTCTGTCAGCTCCCCTACAGTCCCTGCATTCCGTAAGGCCCTAAGCCATAAACGTGACAGAGCCAGGCGTCTTTCCAGAGAACTTTGGACGGCGAACAGGTCCGGCTGCGACCAAAGGAACTTCAGGGTGTGGCGAGAGACAATAGAATGCAGGGTAGTTCCTGGTAGGTGTGTGACAAAGTTTCAACAACCCCCATCCCAAAGCCCACCTTGAGCATTCCCAAGCACAAGTTGCGGGGAAAGTGCCTGCGCTCTCGGGGGAATTTTGGAAGCTCGGTACAGTGGGGCTCCCTATTCCCGATGCCTGCGACTTGGAAATTACAGGGCTGCGGTAGAGCGTGCTCACACACCCCCGGCCCCCCTTTGAAACATTGCACCTCGGACCCCGAATTCCTGCACCTTTCACAAAAGGCAGCCGAGAAGCTCCGAGCAATCTTCCACAAAGGGCGACTCATAGTGGCAGGCATCAGACTGGCCTCCAACCACCTGCAAAGTCCGAGCCCGTAAGCCTTGCATCCTGAGCCGTTTCCCCCTCAGCCGCCTGAAGTACTGTCAAATCCTTAAGTGGGACTCCTGCCTTAGACATAGCGACCGGGTCATCCAAGCGGACTTGGGGGGTTGCTGCCTATTTCTCCCAAGTGCCTCTTGTCACTCCCTGTCACTCCCGGCCACCCTCTGTCACTCCCTGACTCCCTCGGGCCTGGTCGCAAACCCAAACGACTGCCGACGGAGCTGTGCGATAGGCCAGGTTCCTGCAGGTAGATGGAAAACCCCCCAAAAAACCTAGCAGTGAACTGAATTCCAGAATCTTGCCTTCGAGGAGGTCTGGAGAAAGGTAGACCAAAGAACCCAATTCTCAGCTGTCAAGGCTTGTTTCTCAATTGAGAAGCCCAGGAATGCAACCCTAAGCCACAAAGCCCGTTTTCCTCAACATTCCTCAAGCATCTCCACACATCTACAACTAGAAGGAGAAATGTGGCATGCACCACTGATGGCGCGCAGACATGGAACATCGACGCGCCTATTTGTTGCCGCCTCGATGTCCTCGCCTGATGCGGAACACTCTCTGAGCTGAGGGCGCTATTAAAAGCCATGGGCCACGAACCTGGCGCCCTCGGTAGAATCTTCGCCTGAGACTCTGAGACCCCTTTGTCACAAGATGGTGGCTCCTGGATACGTCACCGTCTGCCACTCCGCACATGCATCGCCCCCAGCGCGCTCCACGTGGACCTGCAGAAGCAACAAGGCTTCT